CTCCAGGAGGAACATAAAGAGCTCTTTCTTTTCTGCTTATTAATAGCTCTGATTAAATTATCTTGGAAAGCCTACGTGGTGTGCACCAATGGGGGCTCGGCTCCCTCCAGGCTCTGGCCTAGATTACAGCAACCAGGGCAGGTGAGGCAACTGGGGGCTGGGGAGGGAGGCTGGGGCAGGCCTGCTCCCCCACCAGGATAAGGGCTCAGTCTCTGCCTCCTGGCCTCCCTCCCACCCCAGCGCAGCCTCTGACCCACCTTCACTCTAGCGACAGGCACAGCTCCCTCCCTGGGGTCACTAAGCCTTTGCACTGGCAGCTCCCTTGGCCAGGAGCTCTCTTCCCTTACCCCTCCCCTTGGCTGCATCCTACTCAAGTTTACAGGGCAGCCCATCAGCCTTTCCGCCATCAGCAGCCCATCGGCAGGGTCGGGGCCGTTCCGTGCTCTCCTTCCCTCTTCCCCTGGATGGTTACTGCTAGCTGTCTTCTCTGTCCCCTGTGAAACTTGAGTCCCACGGAACCAGGGACTGCGTCTGGGTCACTGCTGAATCCCCAGGGGCTGGCATAGGGCAGGTCCTTAGGAAATGATGAATGAATGAATGAATGAATGAACGAGCAGAGTTGAAGGGGGAAGCATCAGGCCTCAGTGAGTGAGGGCAGACTAGCCTTACATATGGGGGAGGGTGGGAGCGAAAGTTCCACATTCCAGGCCCCTTGAGCAGTGCCTATGTGACAATTAACCCCATTTCACAGACGGGAGAAACTGAGGCACAGAGCAGATGAGTCACTGGGCTAGTAACCTGAAGAGTCAGGATTCAAATCCAGTCATTCTGATGCCACTCTGTCTTCCTCTCCCTGCTCCTCCCTACAAGAAAACACAACAATAACCTGGGCCACTTTCATTCACTGATTCAGAGATTAATTCAACAAACCTTTAGTGAGCGCTGACTGTATGCCAGTCCTGTGCTAAGGATAGAGCAGTCTGAATGCAGGCCCTGCCCTCACAGAGCCCTCAGGTTGGTGAGGAAGACTGACAAACAAGTGGGCCATTATAACACAGACTGGGTACCTTTAGGAAGGGGGAAGGGCTCCAGCCTGGAGGATGGTAGTCAGGGAAGGCTTCCCAGAGGAGGTGGCACCTTAGCTGAAATCTGAAGGAGGAGCAAGACTTAACTACCCGGAGGAAGACTATTCTAGGTGGAGGACACAGCATGGGCAAAGACCTGGAGGCCGGAGAGACATGTGGGAGGACGTGCAGGTATTTCCGCAAGGCTGGTATGTAAGAGGCATATGGGGGCAGTGAGGAATGAGGTGCTGTCTGCCCCCCAGCCCCCTTGGACCCCTGGCTGGAGCCAGTGTTCAGGGACTGGCCCGCCTGGCGGTTCTGTGGACCGTGGCAAATACATCTTGACACTGACTCCATTCACATAATGCAGAGTTATTGGACAAGACCAAGAGCAAGGGGAGGCTGGAGGGAGTTGGGGAGCTGGGGGGCACTGGCACGAGGGCCTGACCTCAGGGAGGTGGGCATGTGGGGAGTGGTGGGGGGGTGGGCACTGTTAGTCGGGGGGTGGGCGTAAGCAAAGATCCAAGGCTGAGCATCTATGGGGGGTGTTCACCTGCTTGGGGTGGGGGGGATCTTTGAGCATGCTCCTGCCTGAAATTCCGACATTAGCACGGGCTCACAGACCTTCCGAGCTGGAGGGGCCTTTTGAGATCTGGTAACCCCCTCGCTGCACACTGGAATCACGTGGAGACCTTTGGAAGCTACCGAGGGTGGTGGGGTTGTACCAGTTTCAGAGTCTGATTGGCAGGGCTGGGTTATGAGCCCCACCCTGCATTTTACAGCAGAGGAAACTGAGGTGCAGAGAGGAGAAGAAACTTGCCCTCAAGGTCATACCCAGTCAATTAGTGACTGGCACACAGCGCAGTAAATAAGGTCGGGGCTCTGGTGTTTGGGACCCCAGTCTGTCATTGTGTGACCTTGTGAAAGTCACGTGGCCTCCTTGGATGTAAGACATGGATAATAATGGAATAGATCTCACAGGGATGCTGTGAGGGTAAAAGGAGATAGAACTATGTGATATAAATAGCACTGAGCAGGAGGCCGGCACACAGTAGGTGTCAAGTCATGGCAACCTATGATGAAAAATATCCCAAACTTTGCAGAGTTGGTGGTGTGGCCCGGGTGCCTTTTTCACCCCTTCCTGCCCTCTTTCCTCCCAGGGTTTTGGTTGTCGCTGTCCCTTGCCCTGCACCCAGCTTGAGTCGCTGGCCACGCACTGTCCCACCTGTCCACACCCAGGGTCCACCCAGCCCGTTGCCCCGGCAACCCGCCCTGACGTCACTGGCAGCTCAGGCGGCCGACCAGGAGCTGAAGCAGCTGGCGGCCGGATCAAGTTTCCAGGTAAATCCTTACCCCCACCCCACCTCCCGGGGGCTGGGTGGGGCTGCTGGGGAGGACTAGAGCGGGGCGCCAAGGCGTGGAGCTGCTGGAAACGGCGTGCATGGCTGCCTCTCCGCGGCCTGAAACAGGGCCAGCTCCTGCCCTAGATAAGGTGGCCTACTTGGGCCCGCCCTGGGGCTGCCCGGCGGGCGCCTCTCCCAGGCTCTGGGTAGGTGTGGGCTGGCTCCTGGAAGTAGACTAGGGTCCAGCTATAATCAGCTCATCCCACGGGGTACGTTCACCAGGGTCTCCAAAGCCCTCTAGGTCTGCATGACCACAGCTGGCATTTATTGAGCACTTACCGTGTTCTGAGTCCTTTCCACGGAACAGCTCACTTTGCCTCACAACCCTGTAAGAGAAGAATTATGATACAAAGACAAGAAACTGAGGCACAGAGCCACGAAGATAAACGTCCAAGGCCGACAGCTAGCAAGGACAGAGCTGGAATCCCACCCTGGTTCTTTGGGACTCTGGGGATCACAGGCTCATAGCCCGAGGGGGTGGGAGGAGTTCTGGCTGCTGCTTTGCATTTCTGTAGGGATCCTGAGGTCTTTCCTGGAAAACTGGCTGCCTAACTTGTTGTGTGATGGAAACAGGGCACCTGAGGGTCTCTCCCAGGACTCAGTTTCTCCAGCTGTAAAACGGGACTGCTAAACGGGCCACCCATGGGCTATCAGGCAGACCAAATGAGAATCTGTGAAGCTACTTAAGAAAGTAAAAGGCAAGGTGCAGCATAGTTTGATGGATCCAAAGTTTGGACCCCAGGTGATACTATGCTTCAGTTTCCCAACCTGTTAAGTGGGGGAGAATGCTGGTGCCTGCCTCCCATATATGTGGTGTGGATTCCATGAGATGGAGCTTTCAAAGAGCTCAGCACCTACCTGGGTATGTAGTTGGTGCTCCACAGATCTCAACTGTGATGCCAAAAAGCAATGTCTGCCAAAAATATGCCTTGAGGCAAAACAGGACAGAATGTCACCTTACATCTCTTCACCTCAGTTTCCTCTATAAGTTGGGAGTATAATAATAGTACCTACCATATCGGTTTTCTCATCTGCAAAATGGGGGCGATAATAATACCTACCTCACAGGGTTGTTGCGAGGATTAAAGGATTTTGTTACGTAGTGTTAGCTTCTGTTATTATTTTCATTATTTTTAACAAATTCCTCATAGAGTTGTTTCCAAGATTAAATGAAACAGTGCAGACAACGCACTTAACACAATGCCATGTCCCAAATATGCGCTCAATAAATGATCCAGGTTTTTTCATTCCTGGTTCCCGACAAAGGGACTACAAGTACCAGCATGCCCTGCGCCCCCGGTCGGGGACCCCTCCGCCCGGCGGCGGCGCGCTGCATGCCGGGAGTTGCAGTCCTCGCGGGGCAGGCCCCGCCTCGCCCTAGCTAGGGGGAGGAGGTTGGAGAGCCGCCCTGCCGGCCTTTGAATTTTGCCGCGAAAAGCGCGCGTGGCGGCCCCCGGCCCCGCCCCCCGCAGGACGCGGCGCCGCGTCACCCTGGTAACCGCCTCTCGGCCGCCGCTGATTGGGCAGGACCGCAGGGGGCGGGCGGGGGGCGAGACGCCGCAGCCTCTGCCGGCGCTCGCGTCTGTCAGTCGGGCCGGAGCGGAGCAGCGGGCAGGACGGCCGGGCCGGCGGCTCCTCGGAGAGGCTGCGCGCGCCTGCCGGGGGAGGCGAAGAAGAGCCGGGCCCGCCGCCTGCGGGGCGCGGCGCGGCGCGCGGCACCCGGGCCTGAGGCGAGGCGAGACGCCGGCGCGCGCCAGGCGGCGCGAGGCTGAGGCCCCGGGAGCCCCCGCGCGCCGCCCGGGGCCATGGGCGCGTGAGAGCCCGGCGCGCGCCGCCCCTGCTGCAGCTCGGGAGCTCGCACGTCCGGTGCACCGTCCTCCGGCCCGTCCCCACGTTCGCCCTGCGCCACCCGGACCGGGTCTCTCTCGGCGCCGAGGCCCCCAGGGCTGCATCCGAGGCTCCGCCGCCCTCTGCCGCCGCCGCGGCTGCCGCTGCTCTCCGCCTTCCCCTCCCCCAACACCCGGGGCTCGGAGCAGGAGGAGGAGGGGCCGGTGCGTTCTCCCCGCCGCTCTTTGCAACCTGCGGGGGCCGGTGCATGCCCGGCGAGGAGCCGGGGCCGCCGCAGGTGCGTGCAACCCCGGAGGAGACAACCCCCCCGCCCCAGAGCGAACCGGGGGGCTGCAAGCCGCGGGCAGGCGGTCGAGCAAGAGGAAGCAACAAAGACAGGCTGCAGCTGGGGCCGGCGAGAGGGGCCGAAGCCGCCCGGCTCCTGGCGCGGGCGGAGAGGGCGCCCCGGGGAGCAGCGCGGGCCGAGCTGCAGCCCTGAGCGGGCCCCCGAGGGGAGGCGCAGCGCCGCCCGCCGGACGCGGTGAGCACAGACCCTGGCGAGGATGCGCCGCCTGGGCGCCCGCGCGGCCCAGGTCCCGGGCGGGCGCGACCCCCGCTGAGCGGAGAGACCCCCCACTCCTCACTTCGGACAGCGCGGGTAGGCGCCTGGATCGCCCTCACCGACAGCATCCCTTCCTACCTGGAGAGAGGCATCGGCCCCCAAGGGGGGCTTCCTCAGGCAGCCTCTGCCTCCTCTGCATGGCTGCGACCCGGCGAGCGGAGAGTCGTCGCCGCTGAGACCTGCTGCCCTTCGACGGCCTGGCTGATCCCGTGAGTTCCGCGGGGCGAGGTTCCGGGCTGGAGCTGGGGGCACCCCCTGGCGTCGGGGCAGCCCGGGTTGGAAATAAAGGGGCCTTGAGGTGTCGGGGCTCCTGAGCAGGGGTGCCTCCTGGCCGCCCTTTCCCCTCCCACCCACAACTTGTCTGGATCGGCCAGCCGGCCAGAGTGGAGATTGGGGGCCCTTTGTGGGCACTCTGCGGAGCCCTTGGGCGGGGCGTACGCCAGAGAGGAAAGGTCACCCCACCCCTACAGCCAGGAGACAAAGGTAGCGGTTCCATCATCTGAAAATTCCCTGGGAACTCCTATGTCTTGGAGGCGTTGGGGGGACGCCCAGGATGGGACAGCTTGAGGTTCTCCCAAGTAGCCTCCGCTCGCCGGGTCGCAGCCATGCAGAGGAGGCAGAGGCTGCCTGAGGAAGCCCCCCTTGGGAGCCGATGCCTCTCTCCAAGTAGCCTCTGAGATTTTCAAGGGACATCAGCTCAGAAGGAAATGTGGAGTCCCGGCCAGGCAGGTGGCTGCTTTTGAGGATTGTGCCCTCTGACGTAGCAGGGTCCTCTCGCAGCGCGCGCTCCTACAAAAAACTCGCAAAAAACGCGGATCCCCCAGTGAGGCCGCGGCGTGACGTCACTGCCAGGCCTCTGACGTCACTGGGGTTGCCGTGGAGACACGACTTGCCTTGACCCAAGGCCGGAGGGGCCGGGCCGTGGTAAACAGGGGCGGGGCTGGATGCCTTTGGGTAGCTGATGGGTGAAGGCAGACTCCCCCACCCCCAAGTGCAGTCCTGTGACCTGAATCCCCAGCGCCCTGATGAGGTGGGGGAGGGAGGCAGTGCCAGCTGTCCCTACTGATGCTCCTCCCCCAAGGACAGGTGTTCAGCTTTGCCCATATAGCCTGGCAGGGCCTGGGGGCTCAAGACTTCCAAACAGAGCAACTTTCTGCTTTCAAAAGGAATGTGACAGAGGAGACCTCCCTGAATCCCACCATGCCCCCAGCCAGCAGGCTGAAGTTCCCAGGGTCCCCAGAGAGATGTGGGCCCCCTGCCTTAAAACAGGCTACTTCTGCTCAGGAAAACATGGGTGCCCCACCCCTAGCCGGGGAAGGCGCAAAGGAGTTGCTGCAGCCACCCCTCGGGTCCGGGGGATCCTCTGCTGTTCAACGCCAAGATGGGGAGCCTTGGCCAAGCCAGAGTTCCTGGCGGCCCCCACTCCCCTTTTGGTATTTAAGATGATTTTGACGTGCACTGTTGGTGCTTATTAAGTGAATGGAGGACAAGCCAAGCCCCTCAGTGCCAAGGTCTGAATAAAGCATGTCTCTGCCAGCGGCCAGCTCTGATGGGGGTCAGGCCCCAGCTCTCTCTCCCCCGCCACACCCCAGCACTGGCCCTGTTCCTGTGAAGGCCCAGAGAACCCCCAGCCAGCATCCTACTGCTGGCTCTTTCATTCCTCTGCTAAGTTCCTTCCAGCATTTGCTGCCAGCATCGGATGTGCGTGAAACTGCTCTGATCACATTTCTAGGAAAAGGTTCGAGGACTGTGTCATGGCTTCTGTGGCGTGGGGTGGGGTGAGAGCAGAGAGGGGTGTGTGGGGGGTCATTGGGAGAAGCCAGGCCCCAGTCTCTGTGCGGCCAGCATTTGTTCTGTTCTCTTATCAGGCTCTCCAGCTAGATTAACAGGTCAATAAATGTCGGTGGAGCTGCTTTTGGGGGCTTGGCAGGGAGATGATATTTCCAGCTGAAACGGTGTCGTTAAACACACAGGCTTCCAAGGACAGAGGAGCAACAGCAGATGGGGGGAGAAGTGGGAGAGGTGGGCAGAAGGGCTGTTTGCGCTTCCTCTCGAAGCTTCCCAGTTTAGAAACAAACTCAGAGTGTGCGCCAGAGAGCCACAAACACAGGCAGCTGGAGGTCCTCCGTGGAGCGTTTACACTCCCACAGCCAAGGCGGAGGGGAAGGCTGTCAGAATTGGGCAATTCCTTCTGCTCCCTTCCCTGGGCTTGGCAGGAGCCCTGAGCGACGAGCAGGAGGGAGTGCCAGCTTACCCAGCATCTCCCTATGTGCCAGGCATTTTATCAGATCTCAGTGACTCCTTGGGTTCCCTCGGGGCAGGGGTGTGAGGCTGCCCCCAGCCTTCCCAGGGGCTCTCAGCTGGTGGGGAAGGCAAGGATGTAGGTGGGACAAGGGCAACTTGGGTAGACGTGGCTCTTGACCCAGCCGGAGGATCGGGAAGGGCCCTATAGGAGGGGTGCCATGTGACTCCTAGAAAGGACAAATAGGAATTCGCCAGGCAGAGGAGTGGAAAGAGTGTTCTGGGCAGTGGCAGTGGCCGTGTAGCAGGCCTGTGAGTGCTTGGGCATGCTGAAGGAGGAGAAGGGGTGGCCCTGGGGTGGCCGTGTCCTGGAGGCGTAGGTGGATGGGGGAAGTTTAAGCAGGGGAGAGGATCCAGTTCAGTGACCCTGAACATCCCTTCTAGTCAGTTCCCGGGGCAGTCCCCTCTCTCAAGGTTACCTCCCCACCCCCACCCCCAGTAATCCTTATCACTTGTCTAATTCTGTGTAAGCTCACCATCCGCTATCCCTTCTGAGCCTCACAGTTGCTCTGGACTGGAGCTGGGCTGGGCTGCTTAACCCCCAGGGGTGGGCAGTGGCTCATGATTAAGAGCCAGGCTGTGGAGTGGGTTCACCACTTGTTGGCTGTGTGATCTTGGGTGAGTAGCTTTGCCTCCCTGAGCCTCAGTTTCCTCATCTGAGAAGGCGCTGATAATTGCACCCACTGCCCAGGGTCCTGGTGAGGATTTGTGGAGGGCTTAAGCACGGCCAAGGCACACAGTAAGCGCTCTATAAACGCACATTCTCATGGCCACTGTTAGCCTCATCCTCAGAACAGGGCCTTGAATGGTTCTCCCAGTCCCTCTTGGAGCCAAAGATCAAAGACCTCTGGGTGGGTCAGAGACCCCCACCCTTCCAGCTGCCTCCCCTGCGTCTCCCACCCACCTATCCAGGCCACCCCACGTGGTGAGCACACGTTGCTCCCATCCGACCTCCTGCGGAGCTGGGGCCTGGCCAGGGGGCCCCTCCGCCGCCTCCCCCTGCCCCCTCTGCCTTCCAGTCCCTCACGAACCGGAGGAAGGAGCGGAGCAGCTCATATCCATGAACCGTAATTCAATCAGGCGGCGAGTCCTCTGGGCTCGGGGCGGGGGTGAGAACGAGGAGGCGCACAAAAGGGCCGCCTTATTACCTCCCGCGGGCCTGGAATTGCTGCTCTCCCCCGGCAGCGGCCGCAGCCGCCTTTATTGTGTTAACCCATTTGCGTGTCAAGAGCTATTGTGAGCTTTCTCTGCCGGTGCGTGCGGGGCGGGCTGCGGGAGGAGGGCCGCACCGCCGGTCACCTCCGTGGGCACCGCCCGCCGCCCTGATTGGTTGCTAAGTGATTTGCATCCAAGGTAATCACTTTTATCTCAGAAGGATGTCGACTATAATTATAAGCTACTGACATCTTTTGAAATCTGCCTAATGACTATTTTAGTCTGCGAGGGCTGGGGGTGGGGAGGGGGATTCTGGAGGCTGGGGGCGGAGGGGGGAGGCTGGAAGGAGGATGGATTCCTTCCACCTGGACCACTGATTCGTTAGTTGAGAAATAGCTGAGTGCCTACTGCGCGCCTCAAACAAAAGGCAGGTGGCAGAGATGTTGTGTCCCTGTGGGCGGAGTTAGTACCATTTCAGAGATGGGGAAATAGAGGCCCTGCCAGGGAGCCACCTGCCCAGAATCACACGCCTGTTACGTGATTGGAACCTGAGTGTCTCTGACCTCCAAATTCACATGCTGGCCGCTCCAGTGGGTGCAGACAAATAATAACCGTAACCATTCCTGGTAGAGGTCACCTTCCAGCACCTCCCAGGGTTTATGTCATAGCCTAAGAAATGCAGGTGCTGTCACTACCCCCATTTTACCAAGGAGGAAACAGCACAGGGAGGTTACCTCACTGCCCAAGGTCACACAGCCAGGAAGTGGCAGAAGGCTGAGGTTGTTGGTGGCCAGAAGTGGGGGTGCCATGTGGCCAGTAGGAAGAAGAGGAAAGGGCAAACCCGGGCTCCAGCTCCCGCTACGCCACCACCTGTGGTTCCATTCAGTGAACACCCACCTCAGCCTGGGCGAGGGCCCCTTGCCAGCCACTGTCTGGGTGGCAGAGCCCTAAGGAATCAGATGGCCCACAGCCCCCATGGGGGGTCAGATGAGTCTGCGACTAATTCAGGCTCTGGACAGAGCCAGAGCAGGGCTGGAGGAGAGAGAGACAAGGACAAGGGAAAAACTGCAGCTGGTCGTGGAGGGTTTCCTGATGGAAGGGGCCTAGGCTCTGGGCCCTGAGGACTGGGCGGACCTACCCAATGGGGAGCGAATGGGGATGTCTCTGGCAGAGGGAGTTTGAGAACCAAGGGCCGTGGTGAGGAAGGGCAGGGAGAGCTCATAAGAAGGCAGAGGTGAAAGGAAGAGATCTATCAGGGTGTGCAGGACCTCGAGAGCTGAGCTCAGTATCCAGTGTGTCCAGAGGACAAGTAGCCCAGTGACGGTATCTGGGGAGGAGGGGTGTGACATGGTCTGGGGGTCCTAAGAACAGTCTGGCAACCTTTGCAGGGGCTTGGGAGTCACAGATCGGAAGGGATCCCTGGCTCCTGCACTCTCACTGGCTGTGTGTCCTCAGACAAGTCACTCTCCCTCTCTGGGCCTTACTCTCCTCATCTGTTCATGGGCGTACTAGCAGTTTTCTCACAGGCTTGTGGGTGGGCTCAGGCACAGGCCCCAGCTAGTCATCCTGGCCCTGCCGCAAACCAGCCTCCCAGCCACAGCAGCTGTCTGGGGCCCTAGGAGCCCCTGCCATTGTGCAGAGGGCACAGGGGACAAAGACCTGGGAAGTCAGGGGGTAAGGCCGAGGCTGGCTGTGAACAGGCTCCCGGGGATGGGGACTTCATGACGCAGAACTTAATGACCCAGAGTCTGTG